TGTTAATGCGAAGTTTACTTGGTGCCACTATGTTTTTCACATTTCGGGCTTTTTTGAAAACCACAGAGGGTTTGGGTGGGAGTATTGGGCCAGTGGATCATTTGTTCAGTGGATCAGCACCCATCTCTGCACATAACTCAGAGACATTATTAACTCTTCAAACAACAACACTGAGTAGTTCCCCGGAAGCTGAACATTCCCCTCAAGCCCCTCTGATCACAGATAGGTGATCATCCAACCTCTCGCCCAACATCGGAACCAGCGCAGCACTTTCACCGTCAATGACATCGCCTCATTCAGAACCTCTGGAAGTCTTGCATCAACTCACCAAACCATACAGGACTTCACCACATCACTCCTAACCAAACGTTGAGTATTCACGCACCACACCTGAGATTTATTAAATCGTGATTTCTCACCTTTTCACCGTTTTCCACCTTCCCCTCCGATCCTGAACCACCCAATCTGGGAAGTACCCCATTTGTTTGTCTTCATCACTGTCAAGCCATCGGACCACACCAGCAATCAACCAATCTACACTGATCGGTTTAGAACATCCTTTCCCCCCAGTCGTGGCGCTTCCTCCATTTCCTTTTTTAGTTCTACTGTTACACGTGTCGGACACCCCGGTCCGTACAATCAGGAAGCTGCACACCAACATAAACCCCCGGCTTACAACCCCTCTCCCTCAAGATCACACACACCCCTTTAGAGCGCTGGAATTCTGGACTGCCCCTCCAATTTTTCATATGGCTTTTACAGAGTACTGTAAAAGGCTTTAGCCAGTCAGGGCTTCACAAGGCGCAGTGCCTTTTGGGGAGCTTGCCGAACACCCTGACAGTTTCTGTGTTTGCCGAACACACAAACTACCGATTTTTGAGTTGAACTCATGCTCGACTATTGAGCCCATCCCTAAACAGAAGGGAAATTCTGCAGCTGCAATTAGAAGTGGATGTTGCATTGGTTCACAAAATCATGGCAGGCTTTAGGATCTCCAGAAAAGCGTTGTAGGGCTGGAATACAAAGCATGGACACCGCTGCAGAAGCGGATTTCTGCACAGGGCCAGGCTGAGGTAAGTCTGTGGGCACATAAGCCGCAGGAAATAAAGTCTGAAGCTGCTCCAGTCAAGCAGAAAGTGTCTGCTTACTTGAACCTGACTTGATTGCTGAGCATTGAGCCTTTGAAGAATTTGCTCAGTGAAGTCTGCTGGTGAGGGAGATTCGTCAGTCATGGTTCAAGCAAACTGTCACAGTCTGGTAACTGAGGACACTGAGAATTCAAAACCCTGGAGTGGCGGGACTGGGTAGACCGCACATTTGGCATGGGTGTACTAGAGGCGCAGAATCTAAGGAGTGCCAGGTCTTCTCCAGAGCCCCTGATTGTGGGGGTGTTGGGCTGCAGGACAGCTCCCAGGTTGCAGCCCTCCAACTAACCCATGGAGACACAGCTAACAAAGCCACAAAAGAAGTATAGACAAGGAACAGCACTGGGAGACTGGACTCAGTGGCAGGTATGGGAGAAGTAACAAACTAGGATGTACAATGCAGGAGAGATGTGAAGAAACAGTAACACCCAGAAAGCTCTAGAACACAGGTTTATTTGCTGAGCAGGAAAACACAGCAGGCCGATACACAGAAGATGCAGGAGGCAAAGGTAATACAGGACAGTGCGTACACAGAGCGCAATATAATCTTGGAGAAACTAAAGGTACACAAGAATACAGGTGGGTGACACCTAGTACGGCAGAGCGAAAGGGACACCACAAACTGATGCGGGGAAGAGTGGACATAACGGAGTAGAAATAAGTGAAGCAGTGCAGGGGTGCTGCAATCAGCAAGGAAAAACTCACAGTACACAGTGGATGCAAAGGAAGGTAAAAAAGCTCCATGCTCTCTTGTCACTAGTTGAGGAGGAAGCATGGAGCCGGCTGTCAGAAATTTGTGTTTTCTTTTTGTTCAATTAAAGGAATTTTTTCCAAAGTGTTGTGTGTTTATTTACATTTTTAAACCCTTTTAGGGAATGAGTAGGGGTACAAGTACCCCTTATTCACAAGGGGGGGTGGCATCTGGGTGCCCCCTTTATGAAAGGGGGTACCCAGAGGCAGATGACCCCCCCTGCCACTGACCCCACAACCACCAGGTCAGGGTTGTGGGGAAGAGGCCCTGGATGGATGGATGGTATGGTGGATGAAGGGTGGATGTAAATTGTGGATGCTTGCTCATCCCCTCCCTTTCCTGCCCTACCAGGCTGCTGCCCGGATTAAAGGTCTGTTATGGGATTTTAGGGGGGACCCTGTTTTTTTTTACTTGTTTGGGGATGGGGTTCCCCCTAAAATTTCTACCCGACTTACAGGGTCTGGTATGAATTGCCGGGAAACTGCACACTGTTTTTTTTTACATGGGGCCCCCCCCCCCCCCCTAACATTCCTACCAGACCTAACGGGTCTGGTATGAATTGGGGGGGACCCCACACTGTTTAAAAAAAAAATATTATTATTATTTCTGTGAACAGTTAAACACCTTAGGTATTCTGTGACAGCTGTCAGATTCTTTACATTCAGGATGAAGTGTCCTCAAAGAAACAGAAGCTGTTACAGAATAACACAGATCTTTTGGCTTCTTTCATTATTTACATTTTGTAACAATATTGTTTTACTTTGTTTCAATTTGAGATACAAGTGCAGAGAAGTCAGAGAGCTGTAAATGACAGCTCTCCCACTTGTGTTTAATTTCTGAATGAAATTCGGATTAATCCGAATTTCGTTATCAAACATCCGGATTCCTTCAGATTCGTTATTTCTGTCATTCGGAAATTTGGATGCTTCCGAATTTACCGAAATTCGTACATATTTCAATTCGGAATGAGACGAATTGCACATGTCTACTGGTAAGACTGCACAGCCCTGGTGAGATCCACACGCAGCCCTGGTGAGATCCACACGCAGCCCTGGTGAGACCGCACACCCTTCTGAGACCCCGCACAGAACTGGGGAGACCGCACAAAGCCCTTGGGGGACCCCGCACAGCTAGTGAGACTGGGCACAGTCATGGTGAGACTCTGCACAGCCCTTGTGAGACCACACCGCCATGGTCAGACCCCACACATCCTCCTGAGACTGTGCACAGCCCTGGCCCAACCCTGCAGAGCCTCCTAAGACCTCGTTACAGCCCTGGTTAAACCCCACAGAGCCTCCTGCAGATGCAGCATAGCCCTGGTGAGCAACAGAGTATGTAGCTTCATATTATTCTGCATTACTGTATAATGTATTGCTGGGATTTGTATTTCTTTATCGCTGGTGGGATTCTGCATTGCTGTATAATGGATTGCTGGGATTTGTAGTCCTCTTTAACTGGTGGTATTGTGCATTGCTGTATAATGTATTGCTAGGATTTGTAGTCCTCTATAGGCGGTGCCTTTCGGCATTGCTGTATAATGTATCACTGGGATTTGTAGTCCTCTATAGCTGGTGGTATTCTGCATTGCTGTATAATGTATTGCTGAGATTTGTAGTCCCTCTACAGCTTAGAGTCAGTGGCAGAAGTACCAGGGTCGGGCCCTGGCACTTCATCACTGTCCTAAAATCATTAGTCTGCTTTGTTTTAGAAAAACTGTCAGATGACACTAAAAAAAGGTATCGATAATTGGTATCGGTGAGTACTTGAGGAAAAGTATCGGTACTTGTACTTGGTCTGGAAAAAATGGTATCAGTGCATCCCTAATATACAGTAAAATCCCAGTCATCCATAATGGGATTGGTAGATGCCAGATAACTGTAGTTTCTGGTTGCTTGAGAGTAATTATTAGCTCTCAAGCAATCCTCCCCCCTCCCCATGCCAAAAGCTGCAAAATTTACTTGTGAAGTCAACTCACTCATATGCAAATTCCCCAGCTCATTAATATACAAATTCAGCTCAATTCATATAAATAAGCTGAGGGAACAGAGGGTTGGGCTGAGGTAGTGACAGGCTCAGAAAGCTTTGATCTCAAAACACAGGCCCAGGAAACAGCCTTGGAGGTACAGGGGAACAAAATGGACTGTCCCAGGGTATGGTATTGGCAGGGGTAAACCATGTAGGATATGGAGACACCCAGAACAGTCCAAGCAGGTTTGTCCTGCACTTTTATTTAGCAAGGCAAACAAAAAAACAAACAAAAAAACACAGTTTTTAATGCAGGAGGGCTTTGTACAGCAAGTCCTAGCATAAGACAAATAGATTTCTACCAGGTGCGAAGTAGACCTAGGAATTTAAGATTTATCCTACTCAAAGCTCTACAAAGCCTCCAGGATCCAGAACTGAACTTAAGATTCTAAGAAAACCAAAAGTTTGTTTTCTACACATCATACATAAATCACCATGACACACATATGTGTATATGGCTGCCATTTGGAAATATACATAATCTTGTACTATCACACCAAGTACTAATGTCATTAATTTCTAATGAATGTCTGGTCAAATGGGGAGAACAATAGAATATTATGTAGTCTGAGGAGAGCTCAGTGAGAGTTTGGAGTAAGCATTGATTATCCCCTTTTATATACTGTATATCTCCTCAGAAAGTAATGCTGTTTCTATATTATTCACTATTTTGCTACCAGAACTCAGCAACTGAAACAGCAAATATCTGCCGCACAGGTCACATACATTACTTTAAATTATATAACCCTTTTATGGTATATACTGTATGTTGAATAAAATATTAATTATGAAGGGAAGAAAACTTAGGGGGTTATTCACAAAAGGGTGAAGAGTTTGGAGAAGGCAGGAGAAGTGAACAATTTAGGCCAAAATAGCTGATTTGGAAAAATTCTCCAATTCAGCTCACCTTCCAGTTCAGCTATGTTATCCTGTATTGTTCACTTATCCTGCCTTCTCCAAACTCTTCACCCTTTTGTGAATAACCCCCTTAATTTTTTTATGAAAAATTAATAGGTGATAGGGAACACGGGACAGCAATAGTCCATTAAATGTCTTGCATTCTTTTTTATCACAGCTAGCATTTGTTCTGCTTTAACCAAATTAATGCTGTTTTTCTTTCTAATTTAGTTTTTCCTCTGGTGTTCTCCTCAAGTTTTATTCAACATGAGGTTGTGGCACAATACAGTCACCTTTTCTCAATCCAAGGCTTAGATCAAAGTTTGATGCCGTATATGATCCTTGCCCACTTGGATGTTGTTCCAGCCCCAGATGAGGGATGGAAGTTTCCACCTTTTTCTGGAGAGGAGCATGATGGATACATTTATGGAAGAGGAACATTAGATGACAAAAGCTGTGTGATTGTAAGTCTGAAAAAATGTAAGCTTCTGCAATTATAATGCTACATAAATATGTCACATTAATATACTACATAAATATTTAATCTATAATACTACATTAATATTTAACTAGTTTATATTTTTGTTGTAACCATGTTTCCCATAGGCCCATTAAAGAAATAGAAGAGCTGAAAGAACTCTCATAATATGTCATAATTCTCCCACCTGTCGTGGAATTTTTGTTGTGGCTCAGGTGCACACTACCACACAGTAAAAGTGAATAAAAGTGCATTGCACCTGTTTTTACAATAGAATACATTTTACCCTAACTTTTGGCTTTTCAGCTGTTTTAGAACTTCCCAACATGACATGCCCATCAGATCATGTCATTATATCAAAGACAAGCAAACTGGAATGTCACATGCAGGTTAAGGCTGCTCTAGCCAACTAAATTATCTAAATCACATCAGTGAAATAATAATGTACAATTCTTAGATGTTCTCTTTGAATTCTAAAATATAATTCTGGAATTCTGAAATATAATCTTAAATCTCTAAAATAGTATCTCAGATTCGAAAGTTTTATGTCAAAGCTCTGATATCAAACAGTATTTTTTTTGTGCCCAGGATTCCATACATATTGAATCCAGGTACCTATTTCTGTTTATGTACACACTGACACATGCGTGTTGGAAATACAACAGCCTATGCTGCTATACACTGATTTGTATTGCTGACATTCAGAGATGTAATATTGTCTTTTGAGCACTAGATGAAGCAAAGCTAGTTTTTATGCTCTTTGACTCTGTGCATACTTGTCTGTGATACACAGGAAGTTTTATCTGTATATGTTTTATTCTCTATGATCAATATGTTTCCTGCATGATGCTGTATATAGATATAATGTCCTCATTTCACTATTGTTTTTGATCAGCAACAGCACACCGACAATCACGGACAGAATGGCTTGAGTTTTAGGGTTCTTTTGGGATATTTATTTGCAAGTTTCAACAGGAGAGAGAGGGTTTAGGATCTGTAGGATGCCCTTGGAAATACTTCGGAGGACAGCTTTCTCCCTTAGCAACAGCTAAGGCTGAAATCACTGTGATCTGGTCCGAGAGACCAATAGTAGTAACAATACTGCGAACAAGGTTAGCTATCTCTGGACTTAGGTAAGGACCCCTGGCTTCTTCTCGAACAGATACCTGGAATAGGGTGAGGGATCTCCCTTGTGGGTCCCAGACGGACGCTCTCATCAGCTCCTCTGCGGTACCCCTCAACAAGCAGACTCTCCCTCCGACCCAGCTTCCATGAGGTATTTTCCTCTTCAGGATCTGGAATCTCTGTGCCTTCAGCATCTCCAACTGCCAAGGAGCACTCCAGGTTAGTGGTAGTATCTTCTTAGAACAAGGCACCCATCACCTGTCACGTGTATGGGCCCAATAAAGTATCAGTGTATCCTAGACCTCCAGGCCCCTCAGCACCTGCCATGTGCTGAGGCCTAGGCCAGTTTCCTGCATCTCCACAGACCTCCTAGGGTGAGGCCCCTAGGGGGAAGAGAACTCTGCACAGTGTCCCCAGACCTTTTATTACCTGCCCTCAACCATGCCTCTGAGTCATCCTACTCAGGGATTGGCTAGGGTCAGGTGCATAGTCATAACCTGAGGGTGGATCCTCCCTCACTGTATGCCAACGCTCCCTTTTCCTCAGAAAACCTATAGAATGCAGAGCTCTGTATAATCAGTATCTAGACTGTTTACAGTCCAGGTATCTCTAAATTGAGTAGCGACATTTTAGAGGGCGCTACACTCTCCCCCTACTTGAAAATGGCCTTGTCCTCATAGGCCGGGAACAAAAACTGCTCTTACTCCTAAGAGCTGGGCATCCTACAGCAAAAAGTGGATGGGGAAGGGTAAAAAGGGGAAAACTGCCAACAGGTAGTTTTACACATGTAAACAGACTGACAGAGGTAATAACAGTTGTGAAATTCACAGTTAAGTTGCATATCAATTGTTAGCAATAGTTACATCCTAGTAGTGCAATAGTGGCTCTCACCGGGCAAATCAGCCGCTCAGTGACCGGTACTCTTGCATGAGCAATGTCATATCAAACATATCAGGAGTAGGTCCCTACAACTGACTATCTAGTAGTAATAGTATCAATTAGGTCAAATATACAAATAGTGCAATGTATTTTGCTTGAAGTACAAATCTCTGGGTTACCTCATCTGCAGAGGAATAAACAAAATACCAGGCAACATACACATTCCTGAGTATCAGAGTTTTTGAAATATCATTCGCTTGAGAATTATCTTTCAGGATATACATATATACATATGGTCATCACATTTCAATTGAACAGTAGTGCTTACAGTAATACTTGACTATTCAGTGACTATTCAGTAGACATGTGCACTGCCAAAAAATTAGTTTAGTTTTGTTTCGTTTTAAATTCGGATTTGTGTTATTTCGTTTTTTGGGATTCGGGTGTGAAAGTTAATTCGGATTCGGTATTCGGATTCGGACGAAATTCGTTAGCGGTAGTTCGTTCGAACGTTCGTTTCGTTTTCGTTTCTTATTCGGTTTGTTCATTCGTTCGTTCGTTTGCAGCAAAGTGACATTTGGGGGGAAAATGTTTTTCTTCAACGGACGAAACGAATAAGAAACGAAAACGAAACGAACGTTCGAACGAACTACTGCTACCGAATTTCGGAAACGGAAATTCGGATTCGTTTGCATTCGTTATATCTGTAATTCGGAATTCGGATACATCCGAATGTCCGAATTTCCGAAAATTCGTCCGAATTTCGATTCGGAACGAAACGAATCGCACGTGTCTACTATTCAGTAACTTAAAGTCCATCCCTCTACTGCCATCTAGAGGTGAAAGAAATTAGTGCATCAAATACATTTCTACAATAAGAGACTGTAAGTTTTGATCACGAGGACCTCTGCAAAAATCCTGGAACAAAACAGAGAAATAGCATCCTATCTGCCTATATAGCTATGGGTGGGCAAACCACAGTATACATTTAGTCCATTTAAACACAAAAATTCTTCTTGGTAGAAACAAACCCGTTTACGAAAAAAATCAACCGTCGCAAGCTGTCCTGAGGTATATCTGCCTAACCAAAGGGTCCAGCAAGCTGTAACAAGGGCAGAGGAGCCCCTCTGCAATCCAGTAGTGACACATCACAAACTGAGGTAACTTCATTCAGTATTGGATGAATTCAGACTTGTCTGCCACCTAACATAGGCAGAGTCCAGTCATTGCATAACAGAAACATCAAAAAGAAACAGCAAACAGTGGGGTGAAAGGCAACTGAAGGCAGAATGCTCACTTGTAGAAGTGTGGATCTGGAACTTGCACCATCTTGCCTTTGGAATCAAATATGTTAATGGCATATTCTTGATCCTTGCGACCAGCCTTTACCACCACCACTTTATCTGTGAAGATGTAACGCCCCAGGCTCCAGCTCTGCCTGCAGCACAGGAACTTTTCTAAGAACTTTGGGTAACTTGCATTCCTGCAAGGCTTGGGCACTCCCAAGTATTCCCACACCTCGTTATCACACCAAGCATTCCGCTTGACTTCTACCTCTTCCATCACAGCTTTAGGCACATAGGGGTACTCGTATCCATACTCAAGAGTGACCCTCTTATTCACAATTCTCTGAAGTCTGGACAGTCTCGGTAGCGTATCCACATTCCCTTTTCCTGTTGGGACACATGAATCCCGCGCCCTCTCAATTAAATCTTTATGGGCCTCATTGTGTGCCACCGCTTGTTTGTAGGTGCGGGGTGGCGAAGATTCGAGCCGCCGCTCGTAGTAGGACGGATGAAAGCCCAGTGCCCTGGCACTTTGTCTGATCTGAGCACAGTCCACCCGATCCTCCTCTACTGGCTCTGCAACATCTTTAGGGAGTTTATCCTCCGCTAGCTCTCGACATGACCTGTCTGTCTGAGGTAGTTCCGAGGTCTCCCCCTCCTTAAAGTCCCGCTCCAGCTGCTCTGTACTACAGGGGTTCCCCTCTGGCTTCGGTTCTGGCTGGGATGATCCTATCTCCGATCCCCCACCACTAGCAACCCCAGAGGTCTTACCTTCCTGCAGACTCCGATCTCCGAGCAAGCTGGCAGGTGCATTCAATTTCTTCAGCAGTCCGATCAAGGCCCCTCGACCGCGGCAGTGGCCGATCAGAGTCTGCCCTTGTGTAGACGAATTGTCACTGTGATCGGCATCAGTCGATCTGGTAGTGGACGGAAGTTGAGGAAGGTACCTCACAGCCGCGGGTCCGCTCAATTCCTTGGCCTCCTCACAGCGTCCGGTCCCCCAATCCACCCGGTAGACACTCGGTGGTAGGTCCGATGCGATGAGTTCCATGAGGCAATCTCCACAACGGTCACAGCGACTCCACGCTTTGATGAGTGCAGAGAGTTTCCCGCACTTTCCGCAGGTAACAGCCAAGTGCTCGGTTCCTCTGATGCTGCATAACGCCACTTCACCTCTGAGGGACATCCTCACTCCGGTGTCGGTTAGTTGGCTAAGCTGGAACTAATTTCTCCATTCCATCGACTCAGTTACAATGGGTCCGGTGGGCTTGGAAACGATTGAACTTTCCATGAAGCTGTATTGCGCCATCTCTCCTGCTCCACGTGGGCCGTCTTCCCCTGCAGGCTGCTCACGTACGCACAGGTCAGTAGCTCCGCCTTCTTATCACCGCTCTGGTGCCACAGCTTCCCGCCAGAAAGTTTCCTGCACAATTAACCCTCGGGTTGCTGGCAGAAAGTGAATAGGTACTAGAAGACCCTCTCTCTTGTAGAAATATGGCTCTTTCACATCAATATACTTGGTAACAGTCCTTTCTTGGGTTCCCCAAAAAGACAGTTCCCAAAAATACTTGAAAAAGCAAAATCTTTAGTCGATTGCTAGGGGCAACGGCAGCATAAACTAGGTCAGGAGAATCCCGGACGAGCCCCCACGTGTAGCGCTCATCCCCGAAGGAGCCGCTGAGTATGATAATGAAATAGGGTTCTCCTACCTGTTTGTTCCAGCTACCGGTCCCCTTTGATCAGCAACAGCACACCGACAATCACGGACAGAATGGCTCGAGTCTTAGGGTTCTTTTGGGATATTTATTTGCAAGTTTCAACAGGAGAGAGGGGGTTTAGGATCTGTAGGATGCCCTTGGAAATACTTTGGAGGACAGCTTGAATAGCGACATTTTAGAGGGCACTACACAGAATTTCTCAAGATCTCAGTGCTTCATCTAAACACATAACTAACAATGGGCTTACATGTGAGGATAACACAGCCCTCTTATCTCAGATGTTAAATATTAGCCTAATCAGTACTTCAGATAACATTACTGTAATGCCATTAAGATATTTTATGGAATCCTGTAACATATGCTCAAACCCTTGTTCAAAGTTCAAAACAAAGTTAAAGACATCAGACATACAAAGTTCATTTTCTGTAGTAATTTCACAGGAACTTGGCATCATAGTCATGCAAATCAGCCCCAGAGAAACTCTTGAAATAATTTTCAGATCTTGGGAAACCCCTACTGAAATAGATTATACCTGCAGCTCACATGATCAATAACTTGTATAAAGTTTTCAGTTAGCAGAAGCAAAATGTCCCATACCATTAGTGGCTAGTGTAGAAGTGACTGCTCACATGGTGTTTAATGCAACATTTTCCACTTGTATTTGTGCTCAACATAAGTTTGAGATCAATTCACCATTGCTTACTACTCAAGGAACCCTAGCAACATCAAGAGGTACCTGGTTGAGAAAGGTTAGTTCACAAACTCAGACTACACTGAGAACTTAGGTCCCGTTCACTTCATAGCATTCAGCTAAATGCACGGTATCCACGCATTAGCGCATGCTGTCACACAGCATGCCTAGTGTGTGGAACTATGCACTAGGTGCATTGCTATTTGCTTGAATGGCACCCAAACACACCTCCCGCCGATGTTGAGTCCAATACCATGTGTTGCGTTACAGTGCCGTGAAAAAAAGTAATGCATGCACTACTTGTTTTCACTGCATCTCAACACAGTGTTGCAGTATTGGGCTGAATACTGCATACTGAATACTGTTCAGGTTAAATTATTCAACCCGGCTGTATCAACTTCAAACTTTACTTCTAAAGGCTTGTGCATTATGAGATTCACCTCAACCTCCTCCTGTGCAGCAGTCCTCCCCATTGATGGTTTCCAGGCTTGCCACAGTTTTGTGAACCAATGCAATATTCACTTTGAGCTGCAGCAGAATTTTCCCAAGGCTTCTGGGGAAAATGCAATTTAATATTGAAAAATGCAAGGTTATGCACATCGGAGCAACGAATTTACATGCAAACTACTACTTAGGGGGTGCTCCACACGGAGAAAAACCCGGTGGTCCTCATAGATCACAGATTCAGCAATATTATGCAGTGCAATGCAGCAGCAAGCAAAGCAAGCAGGGTACTATCCTGCATTAAGAGACGGATTTCGGCAATGGATAAAAATAATTTTACTACTTTATTAATCACTGGCTCTGCTTGAGTATGTGGTTCAGTTTTGGTCTCCAACGCTAAGGAAAGGCGTCCTTGAACTTGAGAGAGTTCAGAGAAGGGCTACAAAATTAATAAAAGGGATGGGAGACCTGAGGTATGAAGATCGCCTCCAGAAATTAAACTTGTTTTCTCAGAAAAGAGACGCTTAAGAGGGGACTTAACTGCAATTTTTAAAATCATAAATGGGGACCAAAATATTCCGGGTTCGAGGTTAGGACTGCTCAAGGTTTTTTTTTTACTGTGAGAGTAATAAAAATGTGGAATTCTCTTCCACAGTCAGTAGTATCTGCTGATAGCATTGATAAATTCAAGAAACTTTTAGATGAGTGTAGCGCCCATCACCTTTTGTGATGTGACTACCATGCATTTAGTGATATGCCAGGGCTGTAGACAGCCTGGCTGGATTTGCAGCAGCAAGTACATGGTTAATTCCCAGGTGTCTGACCTTGTCTGTGCCAGTGAGGCCTGCTGACAAAGTGTACATATATTGGTGGGGGGGCCATGTGCTATCTCTCTCGCCTGGACCAGCCATGGATTAGGGCTGGGTCTTGTTCAGCCTGCCCCCAGGCTAGGCCGAGGCCTGGGGATTGGCTGAGCTGCTGAGGGAGAGGTTTCCTGTGAGGCTTCCAACTTGGAGAATGCCTGAAAGATGGAAGAACCAGGACCAGTGCGGGCTCTTGAAGTGCCTTGGATTTATGTGGACTTCAGAGCGGGGTCGGTGTTCTTTCATGGATTGTGGACGTGTATTCCTGTGAAGATAAGATCTGGTGAGTCTGAAGCTAAGGAGGCTTGTGCACCTAGACCCTATACCCTCTCTCACACAGAGTATGTTCAATAAACTGTTCAAATAGCATCATAATACTGAAGTGGAGATCAATTTGTGGGCGGTTAGTGCTAATGGGTGCGGCTGAAAATCAACCCCTAGACTGACTAGATGAGGACCGGGCAATCAGCGGCTCCCTACGGGGAGTTATCGCTACATGAGTTTCTTAGTTCACTAAATTTACAAGGATATGGAAACTACTAGAGCCAAGGACAGACTCTAGTAGTTGAATCAAGACGCAAGTCTTGCGTCTTGCGTCTTGATTCAACCTTACCTACTTTGTTACTATGTATATTTTAAAAGGGGGAATGTACTTATTTTGTGTGTTTTTTTCATTTTTAATTAATTTAAGTCAGTTTGCAAAGAAGTTTTTACTTGAGAGAAGCTATTTCGGTCAATTCACACATTTGAGAGATTGATATATAAAAAAAATTCGCAAGGGGTTTAATCCTTTAATGGGCAGTATATTCTTTGTGTAAAATGTTTGAGTTCTACTTTAGGCTGGGTTCACACCTGAGCGTATTTTTTCAGCTAGTTTTTCAGCTCGTCTTTTTCCGCGTTTTTTAGCACGTTTTTCTGTTCAGTGAAATGAGCGTTTCACTGGCGGTATGAATTTTTTTCCCCTTATTTTCTCTATTTAAAAAAAAAAAAATGTTTTCACTTTCAAACTTCCTGCCGGCTCCGCCTCCCTGTGAGGCGGCCGCTTGCAAGGGACGGAACCCTGAAGTCGGCAGCTGCCGGAGGACACAGCGGGGATCGCGGACAAGGTAAGACCTGTACGCTGTATTCCCGAGTGTGGCTCGGGGTTACCGCTTTGTTAACCCCGATCCACACTCGGGAATACCAATGGAAACGTGCGGAAAAACGCCCCGAAAAAGCTCCTGTACTTCTTTGGCCGCATTCCTACGTGCTGAAATACGCCCAGGTGGGAACCATGCCCATAGGAAAGTATGGGATTTCACTTGCTAAGCGTTTTACAGCGCGTTGGTCAGCGCTGTAAAACGCCCAGGTGTGAACAAGGCCTTGAAGCAGTGACTATATACAAAGAGCAAATTAGAGGGTATGAGAACGTAATTTAATAGATATTCAATATCTCTAATATTAAAAATGCAATTTGACCCAGTTTTACAGATTTATTTCCCAGAATACATTTGAGGCCATTGGCAACAATCTTTGCCTATTATGTTTCCTAGGGTGTGCTTCAAGCTCTTGAATTTTTGCTGGCGATAGGCTACCAACCTCGAAGATCTTTTTATATTGGACTGGGACATGATGAAGAGGTAAAGCAAAATACACTTTTGTTAAAATTATAGTTACATTTAAAGCTCAACTCCAATTTGTGGCTCAAAACAATTGTTGCGCAACAGTATTTAAAATAAAAAAGTACAGTTTTTATTGCAATGTGCATCTCCACTTAGGTTCTGTAACCTGCAGACTCACAGCTGTGAGGATCCGCACAGCTTCTTTTCTGGGTTGAATGACACCCAGCATCATTCAACCCATTACCTGTGAGCCTAAGCCATCATGCGGGCAAACCTACATAAATATATTACTGCTCCGGACAGTCTTACGGATCATCCACCAGCCGTGAGTGCCTACCTACTGGGATCCATCCATTTTTTAGACATACAAGCCTATTTGAAAGTAGTGCAACTCAAAACCAGACTGTGGAATATTGCTCACTTAGGACCCTGTCCTATTCCATTGATGCACTTCTTCACATTAGAAGCTTGGTCATGACTAAGTGCAGCCTGTTTGTTAATATCTGTACATCATGCCGGCTTGGCCGCACAGTACTGCTGCACAGAATGGCACCCATATATTATTGCATGAGCGCTGTTCTGTGCAGGAGAAGGGAATACCCACCATTAGGGATGTCCCGATATCACTTTTTCAGGACCAAGTACAAGTACTTCCGCTCATGTACTTGCCGATACCAATTACCAATACTTTTTCTTAAAGTAAATATAGGTGATCTTAAATGATCCATAGTACAACTACATGTTATGTACTATGGATCATTATTTAACCTATTCATGTTAGCAGGGGAGAATTGTAAATCTATTGCTGGAGTGTAGTGGAGGTGTGTGCTCTATATATGCACTACATATACATTACACACGTCCAGTACACTATAGCAATAGATTTACAGCCAGCCCTATCCCAGCTTCCCTCACTCACAGTTTCACTCCGATCCTTGTTGCCTCACGAGGTGCCTCTTGTAGTCGGCGCTGGGCAGGATCTCTGCATCACATCTCGGTGCTCAGCTTGTGGGAGGCGCTCACAATTCTGCACTGCTAACATGGATAGGTTAAATCATGATCCATAGTACATATACCATAGTACATAACATGTAGTTGTACTACGGATCATTTAACCCATTCATGTTAGAAAGGGATCATTGTAAATCTATTGCTTCAGTGAATTGGGAATCTGTACATGTACAATGCACTATACAGTATATAGATGCACTGCTAACATGAATGGGTTAAATGATCCGTAGTACAACTACATATTATGTACTATGGATCATTTAACCTATTCATGTTAGCATTGGATAATTGTAAATCTATTGTTGCAGTGCATTATATATGTAGTACATGTACATATAGAGTGCACTGCAACATTAGATTTACAATTATCCTCTGCTAACATGAATGGGTTAAATGATCCGTAGTACAACTACATATTATGTACTATGGATCATTTAACCTATTCATGTTAGCATTGGATAATTGTAAATCTATTGTTGCAGTGCATTATATATGTAGTACATGTACATATAGAGTGCACTGCAACATTAGATTTACAATTATCCTCTGCTAACATGAATGGGTTAAATGATCCATAGTACAGGGCTACATATGGATCATTTAATCCATTCATGTTAGCAAAGGAGAATTGTAAATCAATGGTCTCCAGTGTATTAGCAGTCTGTACTCTATATGTTCTACATATAGAGTACAGACTGCTAATACACTGGAGACCATCGATTTACATATATCCCCTGCTTAATAGTTCCCCCCTTGCCCTCACTCACTGTGCGGGAGAGCAGCGACGAGTCAGCGCTGGTCCGGTGGGAGGAGCTCCAGGTGGGGTCCTAATTTAGCTGCCCCAGAGGTGCCGGCCAGCTAAATTAAGATCTCACCTGGAGCTCCTCCCACCGGATCAGCGCTGACTCGCCGCTGATCTCCGGCACTGAAGGACGCCGCTGAGCTGAAGAGGAGTGTCGCGTCACTGCTGCTCCGGTGGGCGGCGCTCCGAGTGAGGTAAGGAGAAAAAAAACCCATAGCGCAAATGCCCTGTATCCGTCCCAATACCGATGCTAGTACCGGTATCGGGATATCCCTACCCACCATCCAACCTGTAGAAGCAAAGGAAAGACCCTTGGCATGATATGACTGACCAGAGGACACCTGGATTTAAAGCCCATTTCCATCTTTGTAAGTGTATTTATTGTGTTAATGTAGCAGTGCAGGGGCAATGTATCTGTGTGTCCATTTTCATGAGTCACAGTGCTGTTGTTTATACTTTATTTAATGGACTCTTTCATAGGCCAGAGTCTTCAATCTGACTCTGAGGGTCGGTTTGTTATCTGTAAAATGTAATCAGCTGTGCTCCTCTCTGCTAATGCTGATCTGACTGTGCTGACCCCGCCCCTTCTCATAACAGGCAGGTCTGTCTTTACTGCAGGGCAAATGGTGCAACTGCCCTAGGCCCCTTATACAGGGCCCCATGATATACAAGGACTTTCACCCGGAGAGGCAGGCAGGAGAGCAGTGGCACTGCCGCTGGCAGAGGCAGGAATCTTCTCTGTACTTAGTCGGTGAGATCAGCTGTAAGCAGGGCAGCCATCAGAAATGTTGGGGCCCCTTACACGGCTTTAGGCCGGGCCCCCCCCCCGCACCGCCGCCACACTGAGCCAGTCACACTATTATTATACACTTATATATCTCTGATATATACCGCAGTGCAGTACAGAGAACACTGAGCCAGTCAGGTCAGTCAAGCTTGGAGCGGTGGAAGTAAAAAAAAAAAAAGTGTGGTGTGCAATATAGTAAAATGGAAAGTGTACAATTATACAGCAATCAATGCAGAATGGCACCAGCTATAGAGGACTACAAATCCCAGCAAATATACATTATACAGTGCAATACAGAATACCACTAGCTATAGAGGAAAGCAACAAACCCCAGCAAAACAATATACATACAGTGTATAATGTATTGCTGGGATTTGTATTCCTCTATATCTGATGGTACATATAAAGCGCAATACACCATCAGCTATAGAGGAATACAACAAATCCCAGCAATACATTTATACAGCATGTGGGGGGAGTACCAGCAGTCTTACCTGCACACTCTTCAAGCAACTTTACTTCTTCCCCCGAGATCCTGGTACTGTCGGCAGCTGCCGTTCCCCCACGCTGCAGTCTTCCTGCAACGACGTGATCATCTTGGTGGCAGCTTCTTAGCGGGCAGTGGCGGGAGAGAGCTCAGAGCTCGGTGAGGTGGGGAGGAGGTGCAGCATGCGTCTTGAAGCAAGCGGCGCGTGTGGAGCCGTGAACAGAGGCAACTAAACGAAAGCAGACTAATCGATGACAACATTTTCCATCATCGATTTTGATCGACTTAGTCGATTAGTTGTTGCAGCCCCAGTTACATCAGTCTCTGTACAGAGGAACTTACACTCTAATGTCCCCCCCACAGTCACACACTATTATCACACATTTATATAGCGCCGACATATACTGCAGTGATGTACAGAGAACCCTGAGCCAGTCACATCAGTCTCTGTACAGAGGAGCTTACACTCTAATGCAGAATGGCACCAGCTGTAGGGCAATACATTATACAGCAATGCAGTACAGTACATGAATTTGACGCAGGGCTTAGTGACCCGCTGACGAGCCCACCATAGATGCTGCACAGCACACCTGAGACTCTCTATGGCGGGCTCTACAGGGGTCTCAGGTGGGCTGGTCAGGGCCAGCTCCTCTTACCTGCTCCTGGTGCCTGTACACCTGGCCTCCTCTGCCGCCAGACTGGCCAGAAGTCACTTCCGGCTGGTCTGACATCAGACGAGCAGAGGCGCTGATGAGGCCCCAGCCTGTCTCGAAGTCGCTGGATCAGGAATGCTGGGGCCCTGCGCTGCTAGGGCCAGGCCTCCTCCGCCGCAAAACCCGCTCACTCGCGCCTCCTCGTCTTTCACTAATAAAGAATGCACAGTTCAGCAGTATAGAACACACAGTTCACCAGTATAGAATGCACAATTCAGCAGTATAGAAGGCACAGTTTACCAGTATAGAACGCACAGATCAGCAGTATAGAATGCACAGTTCAATAGTAAAGAACGCACAGTTCAGTATTAAAGAACACACAGTTCAGCAGTATAGAATGCACGGTTTAATAGTAAAGAATGCACGGTTCACCAGTATAGAATGCACAGTTCAATAGTAAAGAACGCACAGTTCAATAGTAAAGAGCACTATCGCCCGGAAGCCGCAACCAAATTACTATCTCTCTCTTATCGCTCCTCAATCAGCAACAGGTACCAGGAGTCGGGTTACAAGATTGTGACCAAATGGTACTGCACACCGCAAGCTCTCCACTCGTTATTCCCGAACTAGCCAGACCAGTGTTGGCGGTGTCAGCAATCTTCAGCGGGCATGCTCCATATGTTCTGGCTCCGGCAGTTCTGGGACAAGGTGCACGCTCTTGCTCAGAAATTTACAGATGCCCCGTACCTCGAGACCCTGCCTTCTTCGTCCTACACCACAACACTATCCCTTTACGCACTTATACCCGCTCAC